TGAAAAAAAAAAAAAAAAAAAAAAAAAAAAGCCTTTAAACCCAAGAAGTCAAAAGGAGCTTCTAGTATAGCCCTAATCTTCATTTACGTAACATTGCATGATGTAATTAAAGGTTCAGTTGTCGACAGGACATTTGATCTCTATATAAGCCTTTGTTCCAAATACTATGGATGCATGAAAACCTCCCTCTCTATAGGTACAAATTTCTTCACTAGCCAGCTAGTTCTTTTTCTGCTCTCTTAGTATTCTCTCCATCAGCAATATTTTATCAACCTCGCGAGCCCTTTGCCACTCCAAAGAATATACGCACAATGGAAAAAATAGAGCAAGCAATACCCATAAGCTTGAATAATGATGACAAAATTAACGACTTGACGTCCAGTCTGAACCCAAAATCCAAAAATTCAAGCACATCACAGTCCGCTTTCTGGGCACTGTATGCAAAGCATTTTCAACCTGGCCTTTTCAGAATATATATATATATATATATATATATATATATATATATGTAATACCTTTCTGAAAAGGCCAGGTTGAAAATGCTTTGCATACAGTGCCCAGAAAGCGGACTGTGATGTGCTTGAATTTTTGGATTTTGGGTTCAGACTGGACGTCAAGTCGTTAATTTTGTCATCATTATTCAAGCTTATGGGTATTGCTTGCTCTATTTTTTCCATTGTGCGTATATTCTTTGGAGTGGCAAAGGGCTCGCGAGGTTGATAAAATATTGCTGATGGAGAGAATACTAAGAGAGCAGAAAAAGAACTAGCTGGCTAGTGAAGAAATTTGTACCTATAGAGAGGGAGGTTTTCATGCATCCATAGTATTTGGAACAAAGGCTTATATAGAGATCAAATGTCCTGTCGACAACTGAACCTTTAATTACATCATGCAATGTTACGTAAATGAAGATTAGGGCTATACTAGAAGCTCCTTTTGACTTCTTTTGGTTTAAAGGGTTTTTTTTTTTTTTTTTTTTTTTTTTTCACAACTCAAGTTACAACTTAAATTCTATTACTACAATATTTTCTCTTACAAAAATTTGAATTATTCAACTTTTTTACTACAATATTTTTCTCTCACATACACAACTCAAGTTCTTAACTTGAGTTGTGAAACAAACATTTATTTCTAAATCTTAAAAGTTCTGTTTGGCTTCTTTGGCTTAAAAGCTACTTGTGAAAGTGTTACCATAAGAGTTTTGCCTTTTCAAATACGCTTCTACTCAAAACCACAACTCGTGACATTTCAAAAAAATAATCTTTTAAATAGACTTTAAAACTTATATAAGAGATTTAATAAGATATTATAAACTTTATTTAAACATTTTTATTACTTATTAGTAAATTTTAAAAACTATTTTGACTCATTTAAACTCTTTTAAAAATATAGTTCCAAACATTTATTTAAAAGTTACAGTTTTTACTTCTTTTCTTTTACTGAAAAAGCAACGGACCCTAATATTTGCATCTATGACTCTTTCTTTACCCATTACGTGAGGTAATTAAGGGAGTGTTTCCAAAATAGTTGATGTTTATTATATACATTTTTTCTCGGTTGAATAATGTTTAATATTGTTTATTATAAACATGCTATAGACATCATGACATAATGATGTACTTGTCTGTTGTCTTTCTTAGATCGAGATATGTTTCTTTACCAACTAATCGGTTGGTGATTATGATTCAATGATTTTTCTCCTAAATATATCTTTAATAAATTTTCCTCTCGCTTTCCTTCTGTCAAAGACTCAAAAGTCGATATTTTAAGAGTGACTAGGGTTTTGATCTAGTCATAACAAGCTGGTGATTTGGTCAGAATTGATGATCACTTCCAGTACAAATATTACGTAGGTTGAACTCTGGTTCCACTAGCAAAAGACATATATAGCTTTCTGCTTCATATGGGAAGGCATATATAGTACTGTGACAACTTATTTTTGGCAGCCACGTATATCTTCTCTTCACAAGATATATATAACATGATATAATAGAGTATAAACCCAAACAACTTTTATTTGGGTTAATTTTGAGAAAAATGAAGAGCATTACATGTTTGGAAATATTTTGCTGCTAATATGAACTTTCTTTAGTTAAAAGTAAACATTTCAAAAAAAAAAAAAAAGAAGTTAAAACCGTAAATTTCAGGATTTGCAACCAAAAATTGAAATGGGAAATGTATGATTCATATGGAAGAGTACGTGTACATGTATAGCATGCACTTGTTTGCAAACATTATCATTGGTTGAACATGTACCGTCTAAATTTGTTTTTTCTAATGGTTTTACTTTGATCTACTGTTTTTTTTTTTTTTTTTTTCGATAACGAGTTAAATTTTGTAATAAGATAGTTATGATGGTAGATAAAAACTAAGTTTTTACTAATTTGTTCTTTTCAAAATAAATATTAATGGACAGAGAAGTAAATCCTCCGGTCAATTTTATTAATAAGAAAACAAACATACTGAAAAGATCAACGTAAACAATCAGAATATGACATGAGCTAATTACCCAGTTTTATTTACACAAATTGAAACTCCTACTTCGAACACAAACATCAGTCATTTTTCTCTCTGGTATCAAGGATCACAACTTTATGCGAATATGCCAATTTATTCCAAACTTTAAATAACTAATTAATTCCATTTCTTTGTGCGCCTTTATGTAGTTATCAAGTTTCTCCCTTTAAAAATCAATGTACTAGGTAAGACCTCATTGTTAACTTCTGGTGAAATTACGTACGCAAGAGCAAGGTGTGACTTTAGCAATTCCTTAACCATTGTTTTTTCTTTTTGTTCTTTGTTTTTACTTATAATTGGCTCCAAATTGATTATAATATATATAGGAGGCTGCTATAGTTTAATGTCGTAGGAATCGTCAGTCCAATAATCGTTAAGCAAAGAAAATAATCATATCAATTTAAAAATAGGAATATTATTTGATAGATAAAAACATGTCAATTAATTAAAATAATAGAATGATACTTACTGATGGGGACTTGTTGGAATAAGAAAATCAAAACTCGATAATATCTTAACATCACTCATTTTCTAAACAAAATATATATCTATGAATCGGTGTTAAATTATTCAAGGGTCTGTTTAGTTCGTTGATTTTAGTTTTTAATTCGAGTTGAGATGTGACTTTATGTGAGAATTTTTTTATTATAGTAAAAAAAGTTAGATGTGACTATTTCTGATAGCTTTTTATTGTAGCAAAACTAGAATTATAAACTCGAATCGGTGAAATGAACGAGGTCTTGATTACTAGTTTTCTTGTTGTCAACTTCCACGTATTTTTGCTCAAAAAAAAAAAAAAAAACGTTTATGTGTTTGACTCTTTTGAGTGTTGAGCAGCATACTGAATCCCTCATGTTATGATATCCTATTATTTTGTGTGTGGGTCCCTGTGGGAGTTGGTAAAAGATTTCTTGAATTTCAATATTTGGGATACCATGCAATGTTGTAACTGATATGTCAATAGTAAATTTAACATTTGAATGTAAAAAACACTCTTCAATGCAGAAATTTGTTGTGTCAAATTTGTCATATAGTATGTGTTGTTGCAAATTTGCCACTTAGTATATGAAAATTAGGTACTTGGTTGTTTTTGGTTGATATATTTTGTTTTTTATTTAGTCAGTAATCATAACGTTTAAATTTTTAAATTATTTTAAAATTAAAAGTTTGTTTTTACAACTTTTAAAATTTAATGATTATGGTAAAAAGTAGATTTATCGTTTGAAATAACATTATATAAATATTGGAGTATAAATAAAAATAACATGTCAAATATACTATTAACATTAATATTTTTGTTGGAGATGGTGTTAGATTGTTATATATCTCATTCTTTTTTAGATAAACACATGAGAAATGGTTCAACCAGTGTCAGGGAATAGATTCAGATCCCAACTTGGCTTATTGTTATACATCTCTTATTCAATAATTTTAGTTTTTCCACAAATTAACACCGGTTTCTCACAAAAGGTTAATTATGCATCTCTCATTCAATAATTTTTAGTTTTACAAATATGGCACGTATATACATGTATGCTTCTTAATTTTCAGCATTTAATTCTAGCGTATTCAACTCGTGGCATCGTACTGCGGTAATATACTGAAAACCATTAGATTTTGTGGTTCCTTTGGGAGTGGCTTTTGCTTATGAAGCAGAGCTATTGGGTGTGATTACGGCAATTGATTATGCTTTTAATCATGGATGGACTGATTTGTGGTTTGAATGTGATTCCGTTTATGTCGTGCAGCTTCTCAAATCTCGAGGCATAATAGTGATTTTGATTTCACAAGTTGTTGTATAATAAATATAAATAGTAGAACAATTTTGGTTATTTCTAATTTGACCTTCTAAGAACCACATATAGGGTTTTAGATATATTTTTGAACGTATTAATATTTAGTATTCTAAGTTGAAATTGTCAATCTCAGAAACCCTTCAAGCCCCAGGAGAAAATATTAATATATGTTTTTTTGTTTAACGGAAAAATAAGGAGGTAAGCTAATTTTATATTCTTTGTTACGGAAGTCGGCCCTATAAGACTCATGTGCTGTTCTTTGTTTCTACTAAAATATTGTTTCTTATTATGTTGTCAGATTAGGAGGTTGTTCTTATCTTCTAACACAAGTCATTCATTCTTTATAGGATAATAACACTATGGCGCATCCCAACTCTTATATATAATCTGTTATCTACAAATTTTCTATCTCGAGTAAATCAAAATATGTATAGTTTGATATAATACGTTGGAATGTACAAACATTTTCTATCAGTGTTATGCCCCGATTAGGAGGTTGTTGGAATGTCATTCATATTTTGCTCTATATCGCTCCGATTCGTAAAAGAAAAAAAGTAAGATCTGATATCACTTGTCTTCTCTCGCCATTTATTTTAAAAACACATTTTTCTATTTTTTTTTTTTGAAAAACAAACATTTTTCCGGTTTTTACTCTAATTCTTTTGTTTATATATATATATATATATGTATGTATATATATGTATGTATGGACAGAAAAGAGAGAAAGCAAACTCTTTAACGCATACCAAGTTTTAGATTAGCACCCACTAGGCCTCTAATCCACGCCAAACTAGCACCCACTAGGCCTCTACTCCACGCCAAACCTCCAACTCAATATATTAAACTAAGATAAAAGAACTCACACTATTACCTGTCTAATTATTTTACAGAAATTAAAGGATATTGAACCTAACTCAACCTAATAAAACTAATTTGTTAGGGAGAGATTATCCTCACATTCTTAAGTGGATCATGCCAATATCTCCAGTCAATGTGAGATTCTAATACGCTCCTCACGCATAGCGTGGACAACCACTGCAAATAAGTCGATATTGGGGGATCCAACATTATAAAATTGAGCATGCTCTGATACCATTTTACAAAAATCAAAGAATATTAGACCTAACTCAACTTAACAAAACTGAATTATTAAGGAAAGATTGCACTCACCTTATTAAGTGAATCATACTAATATCTCATGTCAATATGAGATTCTAATATAGCCATATACAACAAAAGAAAAACGAAACAATACTCCTGTACATGACAACGAAATTAGAAATAAACTACCCACATGAGAACAAAAGTATGAGAATCTAATCTTGAGGTCTGTTTGCGTATCTTTTTATAATTAAAGCCTTGACGTTTCAGAAACCTTTCAGTAAAAGCCATATTTTGCAGCTTCTAAAAAACTCTTCTAATAAGACTTTTAAACTTGTGAGTTCAAGTAAGACTAAAATTTTTTATAACATATTTATTGTTTATTTGAATATTTAAATGCTATTTTTAGTTCATTAAGCTCTTTTAAAAGTTTCAAACAACGCCTATGCTTTTGTGTTCAAAGCACGGGGAGTTTCAAGTTGCACAATTAAAAAAAAAAAAAAAGGATCGCAGCATGCCCCCCTTTTTTTTTTTTTTTTTTTTTTTTCATTTTGCTAGGTTTTTCTTGTTGTCTGTCTTATTTTCTTGTTTTGTTAGCCCTTGTAATTGAATTAATTTTGAACTTTTTATTTTTTTATTTCTTATTTTGTCTTTTTTATTAAAGAATTAGAGTAGTTGTCTAATATAGAAAGACTTGCTTAGTGACTATAATTAGGATATGCTAAGTCCCGTTTATTTCACCGATTTGAGTTTAGAATTTGAGTTTTACTGCAATAAAAAGCTCTCAGAAACAGTTACATCTAATTTTTTTACTACAGTAAAAAACTTTCACATAGAGTCACATCTCAATTCGAATTAACGAATTAAACAGGCCCATCTATATTAAGTTTCTTTACTATCAATCTTCCACATCTATATTAAAAAAGTACATGTTATTCTAAATACTAATTGAAAAGTCACAACTTTTATTTTTCTTCTACTGTCTAAAAATAAAAGCAAAAGCAATATTTAATCAAGCCTTTGATCATAGAAGCAATGGTAATTTTTATTTCTTTAAAGTTATAATAAATGAGTTTTAGAAAAACTAAAATCTCGTCGAGAGAAAAGTCCTTTTTTTTTTTAAATAGTGAATACAAAATTAATTCACCTGAGACAATTTTTACAATGAGGTTCTTATTTTACTAATGTAACTATATATCTTACACATTACATAGAACATTGACATGATACAAGTTAAAACTAGTACATTCTAGAAGTTGGCCTACGTGATTATTCTCACTAACAAATAACAAGTAGCACTAAACCTAGAAATTAAGGTTCCATAAAAAGTACACTAATGCATATATGACACAAAAATATTGCAATATTGTATATAACTAATAATATCAAACTGCAGAACTGACGGCGGGCTCTTTGTTGTCATCAACCTGAACATTGTTGGTCATCAATCGACGGAGTTTAAGTGATATTGAAGGATTGATGATGGGTTTGCGCTCACTCAACTGAATGATCTTATAAAACCATGAGCCCAGCAATGTTCCGGTGACTGGTCCCGCAAAATACACCCAAAGACCTTTGTACTCTGCACTGGCAATTGCCGGGCCCAGTGTTCTCGCTGGATTCATTGATCCACCTGATACTGGCCTGCATACGATCAAAGCTTTTATTTTTGTAATTTTTAAAACAAATACCCCTAATTCTTGTTTTTATTTCTGTCTCCTTGCAACAACGTTTGTTACTAAAGATTTAAAATTTGTTTTTTTTTTCCTGTAAATAAATATGTGATATCAGAAAAACTATATATTCCAATTAAAGTGGAATTAGAGCTAATTGTTTATTGAAAATAATGGTGTGACCATGAAATTACTGTTCATACGATAATGGACTAATCCTACACATAATTAATTAGGTCCAAATATATTGTTTAGATGTTATTGATGGCATTGTCGTGTGAATAATGTCAAATTCTTAATTAATAGAAATACTCTTGCATGCGTTGTTTGTTCGGTGGCCTTGTTGACATCCTACCCCCCCTTTTTTATTTTTTGATAAATTTCCCTATTTGATTATATGAGACATTTTTTTTTTTGTTTCGTCAGATGAATTTAATTCTATAGCTATTAATTATTTTTGCTTAATTAAATACCCAGCTACGATTGATGTTATACACACGGCTGAACCGACCGCCAAACCTGCAAGCTCTCCTACCTGCAACCGCAAATAAATTACTCATTAGTCCAGTAATTTATATAATAGGATTTTCAAAAAAAAAAAAAATCGTGGTATCCATCGAATATTGTTCTAGGAATTTTTATTAAAACGGGTTATTGGAGTGTAGTTTAGATATATATTTTCAATAATTTGACTAGTTAATTTGAGGTCAGGGGTTATTTTTGTTAATTATTATTACTATTATTATTTAATGTGCAGGGGTTACTTTTACACTACTTTAAAAAAAAAAACACGATGGATAAACGTGTATTTTGAAAGAACACAATAGATAATATTTCAGGCATTTGTATAGTAAGCTGAAAGGATAAAAATTAATAATATTTTAACTAAACAATATATACTATTGGTTATAAACTACTTGAAAAAAAAAAAAAAAAAAGGAATTTTGTGATTTCAAAGTTAGCATGCAGAATGGGTTTTTTTTTTTTTTTTTTTTTTACCGCTTTAGCATCAGTGGCTACAGCAGAGGTGATAAACATCATGTTAAAAGTGACAACAATCTCCATAGCTAAAGCTTTAACATCTGTCCCAGAAGGTGTTGTGGTGCCAATACGCTCAATTGGGTCTAGCAGTTCACGAAGTGTTAATGCGGCACAAATTGCTCCTGTGAATTGAGCTAACGCATAGAACGGTACCTGCAACACAAGGAAAAAAAAAAAAACAAAAAAAAAAGAAGCCTTTTAATTTATTATTATATATTAAACCTCCGAGGAATCTATTTTTAATTTCAGTTTTCTATAATAATTGGTCAAGCTGAATTAAACAAATTTTTACACAACTTGACAAACTGATCATATACAATACATGTGATATTGTCTAGAGAAATTATTTCAACATATAATTTGAATATTTAATTAAGTACGGTTCATCCAATCAATGATGAAACTATATGCACGTTGAAAGGTCCCGCAGTATCCCATACCAAATATAGTTTATAGCACATCTTTTATTAATTTAATAATTATATTTCGGCCGTTTGTCTTCTGTGAATGAGATCCTAACTTTCCTTGAATACATTGTGAATGAGAATATTCGTATTTTCAAAAAGTTAGTTGATCATTCCTGTTTTATACGATCTGAAGCCTCAAGGTCAACGAGCTTTATCAAGTTGAAGTATAAATTAATTTTAAACTTATTTAATATCCTCTTTAAGATAACATACTAGAAAAAATATCTCAACCATTTTAATATTCTTCTTTGCTATAAAACGAAATGACTAAAGACAGAAAGTACACATTTGTCCCGTAATGAAAAATCCAAGGTTTACGTAGTATGTAACTTTCAGTCTCTTGTACATATCTAAAATATAATATTGCGCCTTATAATTTTATTGTTAATCTCGCTTGTAATTTGATGTTGCACGTGTACCTCCCCCCACCCAAAAAGAAAACCCCCTTGTTTTAGCCACAATTAAAGCATTTGTCGGATAGTGAAAGATGGGTGCATAAAAACAAGTTCAATGTCCGGTGACCGATCTCGTTGACCGGTTTATTTTGTTTTTGTTTTCATCATTTTAAAGACACTTTGCCTAATAATGTGAAGCAACAGTACCAGCTCACATATCATTTTTATTTTTATCATTTCGGTCTAATATTGGATTAGGATGTGGCTTATTTTGAGTCATTTTTACGTTGTTGAATCTTGTTCTAGTGTCATTTTGTAAAGGAGTTCTTTCTGTTTGTTAGTTTACCAATCTATCCCAAAAGTTTAAGCTGTTAGGAGGTGAGTCAACAATAATTTTATACTTTAACACTCCCCCTCACGTGTGGGCTGAACAATGAGCAATCGTGTGGGTAAATTAATTAGAAAGCCCAACACGTGAATATTTAAGCCCGAGATATATTAAAGACCCAACACATGATAATTTTTAAATGGGGATAAAGAGTGCAATTACGGGGGTTTGAACTCAGGACCTCCCGCTCTGATACCATGTTAGTTTACCAATCCATCCTAAAAGCTTAAGCTGTTAAGAGGTGAGCCAACAATAATTTTATACTTTAACATTGTTTTTGTGATAGATGTGTGTTTGTATTGTCTAGTTATGTAAGTGATACACGTTTCTTTGACTTTCATGTTGCCTTATATCTTTTCCTAATTTAATGGCTCTTTAATGAAAATATTTCATTGCCATTCAAAAGAAAAAAAAAAACATTACCTTAAAAAAATTATTGAATATTAATTAAATGCAGAGTGCCAAGGACGTGTGAAGCTAATCAAACTATGTGGCCCTAAATTAGAAAAAGGATCTTAAGCTAACGAACAATGCTAAGAGGTACTAGAGATACTCAGCTTACTAATTGGGAGTAGGTTTCATATAGTTGGGATACAAGTCCACTTTCTATTAATTGAAGTGCTTTAGGTTTATATATATTTTATTTAGTTTGGTTCCATATAATTATGAAGTTGAAACATTTAAAACAAGAAACAAAAAAATAAAAAGTTGAAAGGGGCTGTTTTTGTTTTGAATGCAGAACACACTATTGAGCCCCCTTGGACAAGTAACCAACGGGAACTACTAATACTGCCCCACCAGGAGGGTACATATACTTGAATTTGGTTATCACCAAGAACATTGGATGTTCTAGCAGGAAAAAAAAAAAAAAAAAAGAGTGGATATATATCCATGAGATCAAGGAGCTCTTGGCGTATATATCTGGGCCAATGGTCCTAATATTCATCGGTAACAAGTAATTGTAATTGCCGGAAAGTGAAATGTGTGTTGAATAATTTCTCAATATGTTTATTTCTTTTTTCGATTTATTTTAAAGATTTTCTATAAGCAAATCGATATATATATATATATATATATGAATTAAACTAATGCCAAACGAGACCATATTTTTATCTTTCATTTATATATTTATTTTTATAGTTTGAGTCTTCGTAGTTTCATGTCTTCGTTTAAATATCTCTACTCTCTAGTGAAATTAATATATATATATATATATATTGTTTTTTTTTTTCGCAAGGGAATACTCATTGCTTCTTTTTTTATTATTATTATTTGAATTTGAGGTGTGATTTTTGAATTTTACACTTTATGGTGGAATTGGTTGTGAAATTGCCCTTAAGATTATATCTGTAACCATAAATTCATTGCTTATTGTTATTCACGAGAATAATTATTCAGGTTTCTTGTAACATCCGATTAAATTAATTATGATTAATTAATTAAATTTAATAATTAGTGTTAATTAATTTAAAATTAGTAAAAGATTCTCAATTATAATTATCATATAAAAGATATTTTTTTTTCAAAAATGATTTTTTTAAAATTAATACTACTCTCTCGAACAGTTTTAAATATCGATAGTCAATTTTTCAAAATAAAAATAAGAAATCATTTTATACACTATTCAAATTTAGTTTTGAAGTCTAATTATTAAATTTGTACAAAAAGTCAAGCCTATTTTCCTTTTTTTTTCCTTTTTCTTTTTTCTTTCTCCTTTTTCTCTCCTCTCACCCTCGCACGTACACACACTCTCTCTCTCCACGCCGGCCACCTACCACGGATGAGATTCCGGTGTCGTTACGCGACACCGCCCACACCATCGGAAATCTCTCGACGAGCTGGACTCGTTGACATGCCGCACGACCTCCATCTCCGCCGAAAACAGCCGCAATCGCCGGCGAAATGTCCAAAAACTACCGAAACTGCTCGCCGTCGTAACTTTGTCGTCCGACCTCCGATCGGAGTGATTTCGGTCCCTATGGACTCAGCTCGAAGAGACGAAGAAACTCCATTCTTTTCCACAGCTTGATTCTGGCCGGAGCACCACCGTCCATGGTGGTCGGAGTTCCCGCCACCGCTGCCGCCGTTCACCTCCTTTCCGGCAGCCGTTTTCGACACCGCCAGTGTCAATGGACTCAGAGAAGAACGCTGAGCAAAACCCCTATGACAATTTGATGGTCCCGCCACCGTTTTCCGGAAAACGGAGCCGCCGCCGCCGCCGTCCGATGAGATATGGGGTGGTTCCGATGATCCAACCGTTGGATCGTCATGATTTTGTCGTCAAAACACTCAGAAGGAAGTGGGTAACAGAAGCCCTTGGCCTATTTTGAGGTTCCTTTGCCGGAGAATCGGGAACCAAGTCGCCGGATTTTGCTTACGTTTTTGAGTTTGATCGGAGTGGATAGAGGCCGAATTTGGTGAAATTGACTGCACCATTGAACTTAGGATGGTCGATTTAGGTGGGGTAGGAGACAAGTCCGCCGCGGAAATGTGCTCCGGCAACTCCGCCGCCCCTGCCGATGCCGCCAGATTCCGGCGAGTCTCAGTTCTTGAGGTTTCTGACGTCCGATCGAAGATCTGAGACCATATCCTAACTCGTTTTGACGTGCTGAACGCAACAGTGATCTCCGTTTGTGCTAATTCGACTTCGTTGAAAAGTCTACACAACTGTGCATGCAGATTGAGGCGAATCGAGTTGAGGTTCAGAGCGAGCCGTAGAGCTTTAAGAATAGACGGTTAGACAGCGTAAAGTTATCCATAAATTAAATTGTCAAAATGTAGGATATTCTTGTCCATATCCTTGTTAGCCTTACTTTAAATGATTTTGGCCCATTAAAATGCTTTAGAACAAAACATGTTAAAAGAAAAATGGTTTTAAAGGCAATAGTATGAATAATGCTATTAAATTTTCAATGATTTTAAAAATGAGATTTTAAAGAGTATTATTTCTTGAAATGAAATATTTTAAGAAATGATAAAACGCATGGTGGCCACAGAGATCGGGATATGAAAATCATATCATTGGGGCAGATTCTGAAACCTGTACAGTCAACTTCTTACTTAGTGGTGTTATGGCTATGTATATTTTTATTATATAAATATTTTATTACTACTACGTGAGTAATTTCTTTTTCTAAAAAATGATAATCGGTTCCGGGTGTATGTCTTCAGACCGTGAATACATTTATTTATAATGTTTTATAAAATTATATCATACTGAGCATTCTACTCACTTTTATTATGTTTTCAATGTTGTAAATCCTTCCTTTAGAGTTAGCGGTTTATATTTACAACGTGACAAGTGGATGTCAATGGATTGAAGGTGCGAGATTCGAAACGGTACGTTTGTTTCGGATTTACAGTTTTAATTCTGAGATGTACTGTATTTCTATATATAAACTGTATTGGTCGATATTGTCCCATAATTGTACTATTTTTCTTGGACTTTATGGACTGTTTTAAATATTATTAGTAAAAAAAATCTCCGGAGCAAACTATATTAATATTTATGTATTTATTTTTGTGATTTTTATTAAAAAGTCAAGTTAAATTAAATTAAATTTTAAATTAAACCATAATAATCACGGTTCTATGTTTAGGGTCGTGACATTTCTTGTATATGTTGAGGATATATTGGAATCTCCGCCTTAACTAACCATATGTTTTCCGCCTAAGTTTCTGTGCGAACAAACCAAAAAGTAAGAGCTAATTATCTTTGAATAGATATGATTGAGAACGTCCTAATAATTGAACTTAATTAATTAATAGGTTTTTAACAGCACTTTCAAGCCAAGAAAAAGATATGTAAGTTTTTTCTTCAGAGGACTGCATATATTATATATATATAGTGCACTTTAGGTAAAAAAGAGTTTCATGATGATAATTAGAATGCAGAGAGATTTCGTAATCAAGGGGATGCGGACAAGTACCTGTTTCCATGGAAAACGTAGAAAAGTTGCGAAACCGATAGTGACAGCGGGATTCATGTGTGCACCGGAGATGTGACCGACGGAGTAGATCATGACTGTCACTATGAGTCCTCCAGCGATTGATGCTCCCAACTGCGAGATTCTGCGGTTGTCACTGTTGCTGATTGCTGCTGCCGCGCATGTCACAAACACCAACATAAATGTTGCTACCGTCTCTGCCAATACCTGTAGTAATTGTAACCATTATAAATGTTCAATTCAATTCTTATTTATTTATTTATTTATAAATATTCAATTCAATTCAATATATATATCTATATTTATATACGATCAGCTACATAGTACTATCAATTTATTTTTTTGGGTACCTTTTTAAGAAGACCGGGTTGGTAATTGTCTTTATAGAGTTGCCAAATACGGGACTGAATCTGGGATTTTGGATTCTGAACGGACACAAATTCATTCAAGTCATTATGAGTCGATTCTCTGGGCACTATTGCTTGTTCTATCCCGTCCATTTATAATACTATTGTGTTTCTGTGGAAGGGGGAGAAAAGGGCAGAATTTTAGGTAGCGAAATGGCAAGAGGAGAGTTTTTGACGCATCAATGGTGTTTGGAACATGGAGTTAGATGGAGAGATCAATTAATATAAATTTGTCTCCATAATGAGAAGCTTAAGCGGTAGCTAGCTATGCTTTTCATGCCTCACAAGTATAATAATATATATATATATATATATATATATATGTCTACGTGTATGATTTAGAAGACTTAATAACAAATATCCCAACGTAGACTTTGAGACGTGTAGTACATGATATAAAGGGGTTTAGGGAAATAACGTTAACGAAGGGGGTTATTATATAAAAATGTCTAATCATGACGTGGTCTATATTATTTTATTTCTTTGTTTGTGCAAGATATGTTTCTTTAACAACTCATTGGTTGGTTGATTACGATTCAATGATTTTTTTTTTCCTCTTAATTTCTTTAATTAATTTTTCCTCTTAACCCACATCGGATACCTCTATTCTGCCAAATTGAAGTCAATATTTTAAGTTATTCAGCCAAAAAAAAAAAACAAAAAAAAACAAAAACAAAAAACAAAAAATAAAAGAAAAGAAAGAAAGAAAGAGAAAAGAATTCAATAATTTAAGAGGTACCAATTATATTAGCGAAATGTTGTGTACAGGTTTTGATCCGGTCAACCCCGCAATGACTACTGTATATGCAGGTTAAACTTGCAAATTAATTCCCCACCTAGTAATTAGAAAAAAAAAAAAAAGGGTTCACTTTGCTTTAAGGAAGGCATATATAAATTTCTGCCATGTGTAATGTGTTTCTTGGCAGATTTGAGTGCGAAATTGGTAGCCTTATCTTGGCCTTCTTTCAATATGGAAAAGATGACAAAATCCAAACCAAATTTTGTTTTCTTCGGAAAGTTGAAGACCGACATTACATGTTCGGAAGATGATCAGTACTGGACTGCCAATTTAGCTGAACACATTTTAGGGGATAAATAAAAAAATAAAAAAATAAAAATAAAAAAATAAAAATAAAACTATCCGCTGAGAACTTTTTGTTAGTCTTATCTTTTTAGAGAGAGTAGAGATCATCAATTCTGAATGATGTGCCTCTTTTCTCGTTACATAAATTGTTGCGCGTAATTTAGGATCCGTTCATTTCACCGATTTAAGTTTAAAATTCGAGTTTTGTTACAGTAAAAAGCTCTCAGAAACAATCACATTAAATTTTTTTATTACAGTAAAAAGTTCTCACATAAAATCACATCTCAACTCGAATTATAAATTTAAATCAACGAACTAAACGGACCCATAAAATATTGGTATAAATGTTTGGCTTCCTGGGCAAAATGTTAGGCAGATCAGAAAAGTGTCATTTGCGCGGTTTTTAGAGTTGGGTACCTAAGTCAAACGCACTAAATGTGATCCGTGCTATTTTAAGATTGGCAAGCCTCAGAAATTTCGTCATTTTAAAGTGGCTCTGTTTGCCGCACTTACTTTATATTCTTTACTTTGTTTGAATTTATTTAATTAATAATTTCCTTTACTTGAGTGCTGCCTATACGAACTGATATTTTGAGTTGTTGAAGAAACTCATTCACTAGAGACTAGAGTGTGTGTGTGTGTGTGTTTTGTTTTTTGTTTTTTTAGGCGTAAAAAAACGACATCAACACGGAAAGACAGAAAGGAAAAGGTAACACCCGAGGAAAACAATAACAATTAATGTAAGAAACGACGTTAGAATAATAAAACGGCAGAACAATAAAATATACCTGGTAAAACGACAATAATACAAAAGCGACACTAGCTAAGAAAGAGACAGAATTGGATAAACACACCCGACTGAAAACCACAATGTAAAAAAAAAAAAAAAATACAAAACCGGAAGGAAAATGACACGAGATTTGAATACGACACTAAACAAAGAAAACGACATGAAGGAAACTACCTAATATGAATTCGACGACAATAAAAAATATACCAAACGAATACAACGAAGGAACATTGAACTTGAAACCAGATAAGAACCTAAATAAATAAAATTAAACTAAAGAATAAAAAGATGAAAAACGACAACAGATTGAAGATGACTCTGAACCACGAAAACGACGGAAATAAGACAAACCACCGCAAAAACGACAAATGACAAGGAAACGACAGGAAAAATGAATCTTCCAGAAATAACCCATTCTAAGTAGAGGACCTAAAAGGTTCATTTAATATTATATTTTTTCTTGTAATTACAATAATAAGAAACTCTAACCTTCCTTTTCTCTCTTTCTATTTTGCCTTGTGTATGTGACAAGACGGACATATTATAGAACTCATATTACTTACAAGTAACATATCCAAATTATAAGACCACTTGATCATATATAGCTTAAAAAGGTAAAAGGTGGTTACTGTTGGTGGAGGTATTTTAAATGAGGGCTGATCCAAGAGATCTGGGTATTCCATTACTGTATAATATGTTAAGTACTGTGGAGCTTAATTGTTGGCTTTGTCGATTATTATCTTACACAAAGGTTCGAGAAAATATAACAATTATGATGTGTGTGACGTAATTTCATATTAAGGCGAGCTTCTATAAATTTTATCTCTTTTTGTATTTTAATTTTTATCTATGATTTTATTACTTTCTTTAACATATAGAGTTAGAGCGTCTAATTCTTTAACACACATAACTACTATGTACATCACTTCAGGAAAAACACTTCATAGAAATTACAACCCAATAGGTTCTTTGGTGACCATTAATAGAGATTTTGTCTTGGTTCGGGAACTATTAGCTATTTATTTGTTGGCCTTTTACTAGCTTGTTCTTTTAGAGAATCAAATTCCAGCAAATATATATATGTATATATATATATATATATATGAAGTAGCTAACTAGGACTAAACTAGCACATACATTAATGACATTGGAAAATTTATCTATTTGTCACAATAACTTCTACAGAAATATACTATACATAGTTGCATATAATTTGTCTGAAAACATATAGAAACCTAGTCTAACTAAAGTTTTGAACATGATCATATTCCACTCGGAACATCTGAACACCTCTTAGAAAAGAAGACAAAGAAAAGACATTAGTTTCAAACCTAGCGTGTTACTTCTTCTCAAACTTGCCCGTGGCCATGGCCGTGGCCGCTGCCACTCTTCCTTCGAGGGAGTTTAAAGGAAAACGACGGAGTCATAGCGTGGGCCGGCTTGTCACTGACCCGAATCACTTTGTAAGTCAAGGAGCCCAGGAGTGTTCCAATAAATGGGCCCACCATGTACACCCAAATCCCTTTGTAGTACTTACTAGCAATTGCTGGCCCTATTGTTCTTGCCGGGTTCATCGATCCTCCCGATACTGGCCTGGAATATTTTCAGTATATATTCAGTACCCTAACTCATCAAGTTTTATTATTATTTTTATTTTAATCTTTTTCTTAAATAATAAACATGTGCCTAAGACCTCTTGGTCTAGTGGCACTGGAAAGTTAGGGTGAGTAGAGTTAGGGTTGGTAATCTGGGTAGCGATACGATGATATGATTCGAAACTCGTAAGAAGTTAATGGGTTTAGGTTTTCAATAAATAGGTTTGGATCATGATTGTGTTGAGATGATTAACACGATTAATAAATGGATTGGGTTATGGTTGACCTCATAACACGAATTGACACGATTAACTATATGTGTCATCTGTAATCTAATGATATGTGATATACCATGAAAGTTTATATGACATATTAAATACAAATAATGTGAATTTTAATATTTGTAAGTAAAATTCATTTATTTTTCTTAAAGAAAAAGATAAATTGACTAAAAAACATGTTAAACATGTCTTGACCGTGTTAAATAAGTCATTATTATATCAGTTATTTATTCAATATATTAATTTAAACGGATTATATGGATTGAGACAATTAACACGATTAATAAATGAATCGTGTTTGGATTGACATTTTTGACACATTTAATAAACATGTCGTGTTTAACTTGATATTTTCTGACACGATTAATAAATGAGTTGATACAAACACGACTCACTAACACGAATTATCACTCTTAAGTGAAGTGAGATTTGAGTGGAAAGTTGCGGGTTCAATCTCGTCTTATATAAAAAAAAAAAAATTAAAGTCCTACTTGAATGTCTTTTATTCCGTGGCATGTAGCTATGGACTTCGTGTCTCATGATTTGTTTTAGTGGAGGTGTCAGAAAGTAAATTCAAAAATTTAATGAGAATGTAATCACTGAGTGGAATCATGGATATAATTATTGTTACAAAATGGAAGAATTGAAATTATTAGTATAATAATTTTGGAACAATCATTGTAATTAGAGTTACGCCCTGAGATGCAGTTTTTATTTTTATTTTTTATTTTTTATTTTTTTTTAATGTAGGGGCAGTTTTGCTTGCTTACCCAGCTAAGATTGATGTTATGCACACTGATGAACCAACTGCTATCCCTGCTAGCTCCCCTATCTGTAGTCGCAGTAAAGTTGTGTCAATGCATAAAAGGAAAAAAAAAAAAAAAAAGAGAGAAAGAAAAAGAAAAAGAAAATAACAGGCGAAATAGTAGAAATGTGAGATTCAAAATAAATTAGGATTCCTACAGCTTTAGTATCAGTTGCCACAGCTGAGGTGACAAACATCATGGTAAATGTGACGACAATCTCCATTGCCAAAGCTTGCGAATCTGTTCCAGAAGGTGATGTTGTGCCAATACGCTTAATGGGGTCAAGAATTTCTCTTAGGGTAAATGCAGCCGAAATAGCTCCTGTGAGTTGAGCCGCTGCATACAGCGGGACCTACATTAACAAATAAAAAATTTATATTACACAAACATACAAATTCTATATTTCCTTTTCTTTCATAGCAATCATTTTTCTACAAAATCTCGCAACTTGGAAAAGATACAAAAGTTCTTAGATACGTATGTGTGTACATGTATATACAAAGAAGTCTGCTTATGCACTAATATAATAAGTACATGTTGAAGTTCAATATATATATATATATATATGTATATGTATAAACATACATAATATATAAATATGTAACACAATATTTATCTAATAATATTCTGCTGATTACCTGCTTCCAAGGAAAATGTCGAACGGCAGCAAAAGCGAGAGTAACGGCAGGATTCATGTGGGCACCGGAGATGTGGCCAACAGCGTAGATCATCACTGTCACAATAAGGCCACCCGCCACCGAGGCTCCCAGCTGCGACACCCTCCGTGGATCGTTTGCGCTGATTGCCCCCGCGCCGCAAGTAGCAAACACCAGCAGGTAGGTCGCTATCACCTCCGCTAGCACCTACCATATGATCAAGTCAAGTAGTACTAGTCTAGAAAAAAAAAAAAAAAAAGTACTATAGAACTACCATTATGTGATCCTAAATAAACATTGCGAAAAAATAACATGTTTTCCAATGCATTAACTAGTGGTATAGCGGAGTCGAGTTTTTGAACAAAATATTTTTTATAAATGATATAGAGAGGAATAGGATAACTGACATATAAAAAGAAATTAGTGATCCTCTAAAATAAAAAATAAAAAATAAATAAATAGTGCATATCGCAACTAAGTTTAGACTACCTTTTTATATAAACCAGATTCATATTGCTCCTTATACATTACCCAAAGAGGGGATGGGGGGGTCTGATTTTGTGGTTTAGGACTCTCATTAACTGGGACCACCAATGCGTTCGCGTTCTCACTCAAGCTTGCCACGGCTGGTTCTATTCTGTCCATGATTATGTGTGTGTGTGTGTGTGTATATATATATATATATTTTTTTTTTTTTTTCTCTATTACAAATTTAATTAAAGCTCCTACGAGTTTGCTAATTAGATTGGCAGTAAGAGGTTCATATATATAGAGAGAGTGCCGGAGAGAACAGAGTATTGCTAATGCTACTACTTAGTATAACCTAGCTAATTAATTATAGTAGGTTTTGGTGCATCAATGATGTTTGGAGCAACGGTTTAAATAGATCAGCTACCTAATCATATAAAATAACAAGATCTCTAAAAAATATTATCTCTAATTATAGTACTACTATGCATCTATTTCCTATTGGATCTAAATTCCTTTGCTTTTATTAATAGTTGGCATATAATATATAAGCACTGAGCACGCTAAGAAATATCTTTTATGAACCGCCGTAGAACTTTTGTGCTAAGTTCTGCCACAAGCATCGGAATTCCAAAGATGAAAAGAATATTGAATATAGATTTAACAAAGTAGATGGTGAAATTTTTATATGTTTATTATAACAACAACCTACTTCATTAGCAGAAAAAATTAGTTAACAAACTACTTTGTTGCTTTCTTCCAGCTTGTTGATTATGATAATTTTTCTTTTAACAAGTTATACGTATTGGTCGGTTCACGGTGGTTCACTTGTTCAATTTTCCCTTTTTTTAAAAAAAAGGTTAGCAAATTAACCTCATTCTTTAATTTATATGATAGAGTGTTTTGCTTGAAATTTAGAAGACAGTAACCTCAACTTACACTACCAAATATTGCTCTTGATCTGCTCTAGAAAGGCATAGGTATATTGCCGCTTAATATTGTATTTGAACTTGCATCTATCATAAGAATTTAAGTGACTTTTCTCGGACCCTTTTGAGAAAATTATTCAACTTTTGTTTTACTAAATATTCATTTCTAGTTTTTTTTTTATTATTTTTTTTTTATCCCTTTCTTAAAATATTTCCCCTCTTGTTTTACTGCATCTTGCTTTGCTATCTAGTCATGTCCTTTATCATTTTGTTTTTTCCCTTTTAACTTTCTTTTAGAAGCTCAAACCATGGAGTTCAACTCTCATCGCATTCCAAACAATCAACTCCATTAATTGAACTTTGGGCAGTAGCATGGATAGTGATAAGTGAAATGTACTTGGAGTTTTAAATAATCAATAATCATACACAAGAAGTTGAAGACTTTTTTAATTGATAATCATAAGGTAAACCGGTATGAGTTATAGGGCGGGATGAGACTTCAATTTGGGAGGACATGTATTGTTAGAGTACGGTGACTCAAATTCTGTTTGGCCCAATCTAAAAAACTCACGGTGCGACATGTGGTGATACTGTAATTATGATATATATATATATATATTATTGGATTAGTGTGGTTGGGGTTATGGGGACGGAGCCCCCAAACTTGTTTTGTTAATTACGCTCGCGCACTTACATATATGATGTATTTTAGGGTTTTCATGAGGGTTATTTTGTGCTTTTGCCCTAAAACATTCTCCTTCTGTACCCATCTTTGATACAGTGGATTTTTTTTTTCTCCTATGCCCGTGGTTTTTCCCGTTCATATTTTTCCACGTAAATCTACGTGTTCTTGTTCTGTTTTCTATTATCGTTATTTTATAACATGTATTCTATAAGAAAAAATAAATACCATTTTGATGATATTAAAGCCATCAGGGGTAAAGTACAACCAGATCTTCTCATTAAAAAAAAAAAAAAAAAAAAAAGGGGGTTGAACACGTTGTAAATTGAGCAGGTAAATAATCATGGAGTGGGTGGTCCTCCTTTTGCAATATAAAAAGCGGACATGAGGACAGTCACAAGGCAACAAGAGCTCCATTCGGGTATAATACATTATTGTGATCTGTTGGCCTCTGTGTTTGTCCAAAAATTTTCCTTTCTGTACACTATTTTGCAACGATTGTACGTAGTTTGTGGTCTCTTATTACTCATCCTTTAGATAGTAATTGAGACTACTTTTTTAATCTGATGAAAATATCGATCTCCAGTCTTCAAACATAATCTATATATTTCCTTGGGTTAGAACATTTTACATCCTAAAATTCTTCAAAAATTAGTTCTGGAATTAGAATCCCACTTAAAATGTATATTCGATAAGACGACAATAGATCAAGAATTTGGATTCTATGCACGGGCTTTTATTGATGTTGTTTTATTTGAGGTGCTTCCGGATTCGTTAATGGTGGGACGGTATAATTCTAAAAAGAAGAACGCATGTGCAATCATACACTTTTTCCCCTCGTTTGGATTTTCTCTATTGGATTTTGCATGTGCGGGATTCTAATAATAAGCATCTTTTGATTATTTTGAGTGGAAGAATATATTGATCTATCTCAGAAGTTTCAACCAGTTAATTAAGCATCTTGACCCTATTTATTTTGTGTTTCCCTAAAACTAGATCTTCTCCTTCTTCCTTTTTTTTTATATAATTTTTTATTGAGAAAATTACAAAATTTACCATTAAGTGTATAATTTTAGATTTTTATCTCTTATTTATAATTAATACTCTTTTATTAATATAATTATTTAATTAAAAATCTTAACTTATACATTTTTAAGTGATATTTATCTCATTTCTCTTATATTATTTTGTAACTTTTATCTAATAAATAGAGCGGGCTTTGTGTGAATGATAGTTTTAATGGATGCTCAGTTTATTGAGATGGCTTAAGTTCCATATCCTTTGAAAAAAAAAAAAAAACACTTCATTGTCTAGTATATGTTCAAGCAAAACACAACTTCTACAACACTACAAAAAGAGAAGTTTATTTAAGTACAGGAAAGGCCAGGCCAATAGAAACCTCCACGACGTAAATAAAACAAAAGGGGTTGTTTGGTTGGGTAGATTTACTCGAGAAAGGCTCACTCAAGTGATGAACTTGGGCCAAGTTCGCGTTCGGAGCCGGTATACTCGAAACCAAACTCAAAATTAAATTCGAGTTACCTACCCCTTTCTCGAGTTCATCCTCCTCTGCTACTCGAGTTTACCTCTCTGCACTTCTACAATGCATATTCCTGAAAAAACATCGCCTTGAGAGATTCCTCACCCATGTGATCTTGGCTTCTGCCACCGCCCGAGAGAAGCGAGGACGCTGTAGAACCAATCGAAGAGAAACATCGTCGAGTCGTCATTTCGGACCCGGATCGGAGAGATCGAATATGAGGAAGAGGAAAAGGATTTGGGTTGTTTGTCATTTTGTGGATTTAAGGGGCTTCTTTTGTTTTTGTTCAAAGGTACAACTTGAAATGCGTTGTAGAGAGAGAAAGAGGAGAGAGAGAGGGGGATCAGTTTTTTCAGAAAGTAGAGAAGGTATATATGCTTGGGGATGGAGGCTCAGCTACCTCCTCCTGGTTCCAATTTTTTATTTATTTATTGTTATTATTATTATTTTTTACTGAATGGTTGTAATTAAAAAGTTTGTTGTCGTTTTTAGAGGAGAAACGTAAAACGACATGTTGTTTGTAGCATTAAATCAAAGAAAATCAAATAAAAGAAAAATATATTTTTTCTATCCTCACAACTCAAGTTTTATTATACACCTAAACACAAACTCAAAAAAATTTTCATCTCAAAACACAACTCAAATGTACACAACTAAATACAAACTCAAATTATACCTTTATCTCAAATTATAACTCAAATTGAATTTAAAAATTATATTCAAATCACACTCTAAAAGAAACATACTCAAAAACACTCGAACATATCTCAGACGACGTTGGAAGGGTCTAATTTGGTGTCAACGCTGTTGTCGTTGCTCACCTTTCGAGGAAATTTAAATGAATACGACGGAGATATTGGGTGTATGGCCTTATCATCCACTCGAATGATTCTGTACGACAATGAGCCCAACAGTGTACCGATAACTGGACCTACTATGTACACCCAAAGCCCTTTATAGCATCCACTTGCAATTGCTGGGCCTAATGTTCTTACGGGATTCATCGATCCACCGGATATAGGCCTGCAAAAACATCGATTAGTGATGTTCACGAAGATCGGCCCAACTTGGACTAGGCTCTCATTGGCGAGCCCAATTACATGAACAATAATTATAAAAAAATATGGTAAAAACTTTATGAAAATAACAAATTTATGAAACTAAATTTGGTAAATAAAAGACTTTTAAAACTATTTAAAATAAATAATAATTTATCGTATAAATACTTCATTTACTACTAGTGAAGATTTTTTTCATATAAATATTCTTTTTACGACAGCTAAATTTTTTTTTTCTATATAAATAAAGATTTTTATTACGTAAATTATTTTTTTTTACAAGCCGTAAATGAAAATTTATGCGATTAACTGGTATTTACTACAAATAATTTTAAAATATACTATTTACTTAATTTAATTTTACTATTTATTACAATTTTTGTACTTGAAAAAAAAAAACTAAGCAAAATATATGCAAAGGAGATTTTAGTAGAATGTAAAAATAATCTTATATTAGGAACACTTTTTGCATACCCGGCAAAGATTGATGTTATGCATACTGCCGAACCGACTGCTATACCAGCTAGCTCTCCTACCTGTACATATAAGCAGTAAATTCACGTAAGTGTTGGTACAAGAAAAATTAAGAAACGAAATATTACATTTATATACATATATATATATATATATATATGTCAATTAAGAAGGATTAATTGAACTAGATGCCATGGTAAGTGTAGATTTTTACAGCTTTGGTATCAGTTGCAACAGCGGAGGTGACAAACATCATGATAAACGTCACAACAATTTCCATTACTAAAGCCTGAACATCTGTTCCAGAAGGTGTCGTTGTGCCCAAATGTTGTATGGGATAAAGCACTTCCCGTAGGGTAAATGCACCCATAATAGCTCCTGTAAATTGAGCTGCTGCATATAACGGTACCTAGTACAAGAGAAATACAATTAACTATTTATACAAGTTAATGATGCATAATTACAATAATCCATAATATGTGTTTCAGAATTAATCCTGAAATTAATCGTGGTTATCTTTTTCCTTGATCAAAAGATAATATTATTAATTAACAAATGGTGCGTGCAAGGCTTTAATCACTAGTTCGGAACCCTATTGGTTCGTAGTGACCAAATTCTTCACTAATTATCTATTATCTACAGAAGTTTCAAAAAAAAAAAAAAAGAAAAGAAAAGAAAGAAAAGTACTTGTTTCCAGGGAAAATGCCTAACGGTGGCGAAAGCGAGTGTAACCGCAGGGTTCATGTGAGCACCAGAGATATGGCCAACCGCGTAGATCATCACCGTCACGATGAGGCCACCGGCAACCGACGCTCCCAGTTGCGAGACTCTCCGTTCATCGCTCGCATTAATAGCGGCTGCACCACACGTCACAAATACCAACAAGGACGTCCCTATGATTTCAGCAAATACCTGTCATAGATTCACATTGAAGAAATTATAAGGCAATCATTAATATATTATAAGACAATCATTAATGTATACTAGTATTTGGATATGTGACAATCATTAATATATACTAGTATTTGGATATGCACCTTTCTGAGAAAACCAGATTGATATTGCTCTCTGTAATATAGAACCCAAAAAGGAGATGATGATGAGGTATGATCATGATGATCATTTTGTGAGTAGTCACTCTGATCAAGGACTGTCAAGTTTATATGCTTAGTTGTTGTAGATTCTAATTTTCCATCCATTTTTTAATTATCGGATGTCTTTCTTTGTATGCTTCAATCAGATTTGGAAAGGAGGACTTAAATAGATCGTACCACGTTACTACGGATCACACTGTGCAATCTCACACATTTTTTTAAGCACTAGGAACTAAATTGAGGTTACAATATATTATCTTGTGTGGATTGTTAGATTTGTCTAATCTAATAAAGGATCCAGAATCATCAAACTACGCGGTATTGATTAATCTAATCAGTTGTGACATAAACCTGCTAGTTTCTTTATACTTTACATTTACGATATTATTTTTCCAATAAACAAAAACTTTATTAAAAAGAAAAGAGAAAAGGTCTAATAAGACTAGCCTAAGAATAATAAAGAAAAACAAAACCAATCAATAAAATATAAATTAAGCCACATATATAGGTTGAAAACTTAAGGTTTTCATATTTTAAGGGCCCGTTTGGAAGGTATACTCAAATCATGATTCTTGATTTTGTTATTTAAAAATTTAAATTTTTTATAAAAGGAAAACATTGTAGCAGAATTTAATGACTTGAGTCTGAGTATATGAAACAAATGAGCTCTAAAAGTCTTTTTATTACAAGCTCTAAGTTGGTGAGTGAGTTTTTCTTTTTTGGATTTTGTTTAATTTCTTACTCAAAATACCAACATCTGCTAATTTTTCCCAAGAGCTCGAAATACAATTTTCATCTCTTTTTGCGCAGGCATATGCAATTGTCGATCAATGTCATAAAAACCAGTAAAACAACTCTCCAAATTAAATGTCATAAAAACTCTAGACATGCATTCAAACACTGACATCCCATGATCATGAAGTCGCATAGGCTGATGATAACGTCCAATAATGTACATGACATGATATGTTTCTTTTTAGCAATTAATTATTGTATATCTTTTGGTTGGTAACTATGATAATGAAATCATATATACAAGTAAGATATCGGTATACATATATATATATATAACATAAACTTTTTTCTGTCTCTTGATTAATTTTAAATTCCTTCTCCGCGTGCGTATTTGGGACATCCTTTTTCCACCCAATTCACTCGTTCCTAACTTTGGAGATATATTAAGTACACATGTAATTGGTGTAGAAATGTTAGATGGGTAGAGCAAAAAGATCCAGTTTGATCTGGTCAGCCTAAGTCGATCAGAAAGTGATATGGTCAGAGATTCACAGGTCTTACTTGTTATTTAACTTATTCACATTAACTTGCTTATTCCACTATTAAAAACTCGTGCTTTATATATAAAAGATAACATACGTGCATTATAGCTGCCAAGTATGTATTAGCAAATTAAAGAAAGAGATATTTACATTTTTATACCCTATATTTTAAGTTTATTCAAAATTTATGCCTTCAGTTTTTAATCTCACCAAATTTATACATTCAAATTTAATTTAATATACAAATCTATCCCTTATCTCAATCAATAATTGATTTTGACCTTTAAAATGACCAAACTATCTTTAAGAAAAAAAAAAGAGAAAATAAAACTAAAACTTTCTAACACTACAAAAAATAAAAATTAAAAGCACAAAAAAACCCATTTCAATGGTATTTTGGATTTTTTTAATGTTAAAACTGTAAGTTTAAATTTTTTTTTAGTTTTTTTTTCTTTTTCCACTTTTATTTAAGGGTATTTTATGCTTAAAATTGAGAGTTGACTTTGAAAATGTATAAATTTGAGTATTAAATTTAATTTGAAAATATACATTTAATGAGATTAAAAATTAAAAGTATGATTTTTGAATAAACTAAAAATACAATTAGCTGATCACCAAAATCCAATTAGCCAGCTCTTTCGAAGGCCTACACTGCTACACAAATAATCAAACGCAAATTACATAGAAGGAAGGAGAAAAATATATTTTAGAGTGTAGGAGTTGTAGATTTTTATCTCTTACTCTTTATTAATATCATTTTAATTGAATAATTATATTAGTTAAAAAAATTAATTAAGAATAAAAAATAAATATTAAGATTCATACACGTTAAGAGTAAGTTCAATAATTCTCTTAATTTAATATGATAAAGTGAACCAGTTGGCGCAATCTGATTGCTAGTGAAAATTCCTAGGCCCTAGCTATCATCAAGGGAAACAAATCAGCCAATCCAGACATTAAAGTATGTCTTGTATTTGTGAGGTTGCGTGTTATTTAGCAATAATGATAAGAACAACGTACCTCGTTGAATTCATTAATTTGGGTTTCAATTCAAATTGAAATGTAACTTTATATAATAATTTTTAACTGTAATAAAAATAGATTTGATTTTTTATGAGAATTTTTAATTGTAATAAAATTAAAATTAAAAACTTGAATCAGTAAAATAAACGAGATATAATTTCTCATATTAAATCATGTCTTGTATTTATGAGGTTACGTGTTATTTAGCAATAGTGACAAGAACAACGTACCTCGTTTAGTTCGTTGATTTGAGTTTTCAATTTGAGTTGAAATGTGACTTTATATGAGAGCTTTTAACTGTAGTAAAAAAATATATGACTTTTTATGAGAGTTTTTAATTATAACAAAATTGAAATTAAAAATTAGAATCGATGAAATAAATGAGGTGTAGTTTCTCATATTTAACTTGAAATTAATTATACATAAGAAAACAAAAGATAGAAGAGACGAAGATATGATTTAAAGTGATTCCGCAATATGCTTTTGATGACTATAAAATAGTCATTTTCGCTCCCTATTTGTGTCTAAAATAGCTTTGTTCTCAAAGATTTTTATTATTTTATTTTATTTTTAGTTTAGTTTCACTCTATTTTATTTTGTTTAGTTTTATTTTATTTTAGCTTATTTTGTTTTGATTTTATTTAATTTTCCCCCCTAATATTTATTTGTTCCCTCTCATGTCTTGAGGTTAATGAGCTGAAAAAGGAAAGAAAATAACAAAAACCGTTGCAGAGCCTCCTACAAACACAGCCACACACGTCAGCCAAGCACTCCCCAAAAGCCAACCAAAACGCACCACCTGTCATGCTTTTACTCAGAGCCATAAGATCTTTAAGTATTTAACAATTAACACCGCCCACTAATAAAAAATGAGTCCATAAAATAAGATCCATAAATATGACTCACCTTTTATGAGTAATAATATTTAATACCAGTTGTGCCCCTAAGCATTCTTTAAGCTCTCTTTTTCTTGGTGCTGACGTGAGGGACTTTGGAGGGTTTATATAAAGGTTTCGTTTATTTCACCGATTTGAATTTTCAATTTTAGGTTTCTACAGTAAAAAACTTTAAGAAAATGTCGCATATAACTTTTTTTGCTACAGTGAAAAACTTTTAAAAAATGTCACATCTCAACTCGAATCCGCGAAGTGAACGAGGCCAAAGCCTCTCAGCCGCAATTTTGAAGAGCCCCCTCTGCGCATTCACGCCTACGACGCAATACACATAACCCGAGCGAAAATCAGAAGCAGTCAAAATGCAATTTTAACTTTTAAATTGTGCGGAAATCAACATAAAGTACAATTAATGAAACTTTCATAATATCTATAATACTCTTGGTAAAATTTAAAATTCTCAACCTTATCAAGCACTCATCTACTTTTTATTATAATAATTGTTTTTTTCTTCAGTACTACTAACAACAATTTTTTTAAAATATATAACACTACAAAATTGGCCCTTAATATCGGTTAAAACACTAGTACTCACCAATAGATTACTTCAAAAATTCCCTTACTTTAACGCGAACAAAGCGAGGAAAGAAAATATTTTAAAGTACTTCGTAGATAAAAAAAATTGAACCAAAGCAACATTTGACAAAAAAGGGAAAAATAAAAAGTAAAAATTAAAACAAAAAAAACAAAAAAATATATTAAATTAAGAAGTAAAAAAGCCAAAAAAAAAAAACACTGATATGCCAAAAGGACGTAAAAAAAGAAAAAAAGAAATTAGAAAGAAAAAATAGAAGTAAAAAGTGAAAAATAGGAGCTGACATATGGCGGAAGAAGAATGTAAAAAACAAAAAAGCAAGAAAAAAAATTATATAGAAAAATTAAAAGTAAAAAGCAAAAAAATAGGAGGCTGATACATAATGAAAGGAGGAAGAAAGAGAACTTTATTTGGCTCTATTTGATTCTTTTAAGTACGTATAAATATAAATATAGATATAGATATAGATATAAATATAAATATAGATATAGATATAAATGTAGATATAAATAAAGCGTCAAAGATATATTTCTATATTTATAAATGCTCCCTTTATTAGATTGGTTTAATAAAGTTGTTTTTAACTTATTAAAAATTGCTTTTGAATTTATTTAGATGACTAACTTGAAAATGTTTTTGATTTTTTTAAATACTTTTCGAACAAGCCATATCCTTAATATTTATGAAAAAATGCTCATAAAAAGTTTTTTTTATTTACATTTTTAATTTTTTATTTGTGAACAACAAATTAAATATCTCATTCATATCCTTTTATTACATTACCTTTTAGGGATTTTTTTAGTGTTTTCTCTCAATTTTTTGGGAACACCGGTGTTCTCTGTTTGTCAGTCGTCGGATATGTATTAAATTTGATCAAAAGTCAATATTATCGGATTGAAAAGTAATACAAATCAGACAGCTGATATACAGGGAACACTAATATTCTCAAAAAAGAGAGAACACTAGAGAAATTTCTTACTTTTTATAACAAGAAGTCCTTTTGACTTTTTTACCCAAATAAGTTCAAAAACTCTTCTTAAATATAAAAATATTTTTTCAGAGACTATATTAAAAAATCCTAACTTATATTTATCTTCTTCTACTATTTAAAAACACAAGAACAAGTTACTTCTCCTAAACGGCCCGAAGACTAAAGAGAAAACACAGGAACATGTATGTCGAGTAAGGAAGAAGCAATAAAACGAAAGGAATCATTATAAGGACCACAATCAAAGATATGTGACCACTGACCACTGTCTTCTAAAGGCACTTATGGGGTCGCCCTTGTACATGAATAAATGAAAAGACCAAAGATAT